TCATTTTCTCTAGGTGATTTGGATAAAACGAAAAAAAATATTTAATATTTTGTTTACCCTTGGGCTTTAAAAAATAATTAAAATTTGTTTGATCGTCAATCACTATATTTAAATTATTTTTGACTAAAAGGTCACATAAATCAATTTTGACTTCAGAATTAGTGATTTGAAAGTCAATATTTTCGTCGTCCCGCAAATAAAATTTAACTTCAAAATTGTCCGAATGCATTTTAGAACTAGATGAATGTGGCACAGAAATATCATAATTATCGAGTGTTTGATTTTTACGGGGTATCTTTATCGGCTCTAAATTGGAGTTATTTTACGAAGCAGTTAAAAAATAATTTATCTTTTTTTTAGATTTATTTGCTATCTCCTCGAGACATTTCTTATCATGTTCCTTTTGTTTTAAAGAACCGCTCTTATGATATTTTTTATTTTGATCGATGTTATCCTATTCCATTATTAATTAGCCTAATAAATACAAAATTAATAGTATTTTTTTTTTTTTAAACTAAAAATATAACTTTCAGATTAGTTTCATTGTAGTAGTATTTGTTTCCAAAACTTGTTAGTTTTTAAAAAAAAAAAACGTAGCTTAGTAAAAAATTATTTTGTTTGGAAGTATTATGTTTGAAACGGCCTCCTTAGGTTATTTTGAAAATAACACTACTTGATGTTTGTCTATTACAACAAAAAGAATGTTCTCAATTTTTTGTTTTGGATTTTTTGAAATATTATTTAAAAATAATTTTTACTTTTTTCCTAAACACTATTTTTTTTTTAATTTTAGCTTCGATGCGAAGCTGAGAAAGTACTGTTTTACCATGACATGTTTTTTTTTATCTGCTGCCTACTTTTCTCCGCTTTGACTTGACCGATTTTGTTGAACTATACGTAAAAAGACCACTAATCGTATCTAGTTAAAGACATTCTTCTCATATCCCGTAAAAGAGGAAAGTATTCAAAAAAGTTGTTTTTTTCGTGTTGCCAAAATTTCAGAAGTTCTCTAATATTTATTTAGAAAAGTAAGAAAACTTTACATAATATGAGTAAATTTTTAGTAAAATCGGAAAAACGGAAAAATATCATATTTTACACATAGATTAAATATTGATTAATGTGGATATTCTTTTCATTGTAATATACGTGCAGTATAATGTAAATTTTTTATTTGTTGCTAGGCAAGAATGAGTAAACATAATTTTATACGCTATGGTTATAGATTTACATAATTATTGTATGCACTCCTAAATATAATTAGTATACATGTCATAAAGATTCGAATTGAAACTTTTCATCATACCGAGATTTTAAGTTTCAGTCCTTAACAAAAAGTCAGCCCATACGACAAAATCTGTTGTAATCATCACTTATTTTATTTAAATCCTAGTCAATGAAAAAACATAATTATTCTTTTGTGGTCACTTTTTAGTAGATGAATTCATTATTCGCGATCTAACCTACCCCTCAAGGAATCGTACATCCATTCATATTCCTACTCAGCCATCTCTTATAGTCATAATAATTAGCTGTACTATATGCTTCGTAGTCCCAATCAACGCCATTATCACATTTTTACTAGCACCCCTCAGTTGTATCACTAATTACATTATTATTATATACTTAATCTTTAATTAATTAAATCACTTAGTTGTAAACATTATGTAAATTGCCATTTTGGCGCGAATAAATTCAATAAAATAATTTTTAGCTTCGATGCGAAGCTAAGAAGGTATTGGTTTTACTAAGATGTGTTTTTTTTTTTTTGTGTGTCTGTTACCACTTTTTCTCAGCTCTCACCGAACCGATTTCTTTCAATAATACGTCATAAGATCACAAATCGTATCTAGTCGAAGATATTATCCTCAAAAATTGAAAAAAATTCCCTCGTTCCCCGTTAATGGGGGAAACCTCCAAAAAAATTACAAATTTAAAAATCACTAATTTTCAAAATTTTTTCAATTTTTTTTACTAAAAACTGCCATAACTTTTTTAAAAATGAATATATCAACATAATTTTTTTTTATATAGATGCATGATATCATTAACTTTCATTTGGTATATTTTTTTCATAAATTTAACCCTTAACCTGCCCACAAGGGGGGATTTAAAATGACAACTTTTTCACAAAAAATTAATTTTTTCTTCCTAAGTTATAAAATTTTTCGGAAGGTCTGACACTTTTATATATATTTTAAATTAAAGCTAATGTAATGTTCTTTATTAAGCAATAAAAAAATGTTGGACTTTATTTTATCTTCACGGTGAAAATGGTTACCAAATACTATTTTTGTGTGAAAATTTTCGATTTTGTATTTTACATTTTTAACTTAATTATGCTATAACTTTTTGAAAAATGTATGGATCAATACAATTTTTTCATGAGGAGTAGTATTTATATACATCTTTCATTTGACATACTGTTTTTTTAAATCGGACCATTTCCCTATATACTAGGGGGGTTCCAATCTAAAAAATGCATGTAGAAAGTAGAACTTTTCAACTTAACTTTTGAAAGTGTTTCGGAAAGTCTGACACTTTTATATATATCTTAAATTAGAGCTAATGTGATATACTTTATTATGCAAAAAATAAATTTCGGACTTTATTTTATCTTCATGGTGAAAACAGATATCAAAGTTTATAAAAAAAATACGATTTTTGTAAAAAATTCCTTTTTATATTTTAACTTTATAATGCTATAACATTTTAAAAAATGTATGGATCAATATAATTTTTTTTTTATAAATGCATGATGTCTTTACCTATCAGTTGGTATATTTTTTTTATAAATCTGATATTTTACCTGCCTACAGGGGGGGATTCTAAATGACAACTTTTTCACAAAAAATTTACTTTTTCAACTTAATTTCTTAAAGTGTTCCGGAAAGTCTGACACTTTTATATATATCTTAAATTAAAGCTAATGTAATGTACTTTATTATGCAAAAAAAAAAATTTCGGACTTTATTTTGTCTTCACGGTAAAAATAGCTACCGAATGCTATTATTGTGTGAAAATTCTCGATTTTATTTTTTACATTTTTAACTTTATAATGATATAACTTAATTTTTTTATGAGAAATAATATTTTTTAATAATCCCTTTTTCATTTGACATACTTTATCTGAATCAGGATATTAATAACGAACGATATTTATATCTGTCCCTTTACCTGCCCACAAAGGGAGATTCAAAATGACAACTTTTTCACAAAAAATTTACTTTTTCAACTTGAATTTTGAAAGTGTTCCGGAAAGTCTGACACTTTTATATATATCTTAAATTTATCATAAATATTTTTTATGTTCAAACCTTATACCTTATAATGTTGTTAAATTTATTTTTTAAGTGGCAATATAAGTAATTAACTAGCTTATTTCTTAGATAATGACGTAATAAAGAAAATTACTAGTCAATAACAACTATTGGACCAGTATTTTTGAAACTATTAAAATGTTATAGTGAAAATTCGAGATAATGTGTGGGTGTAGATATTTTTATTACTATCCATTTATTGGCTGCACACGACTTTGCGCCAAGGTATAGAAATGCCAATAACTTCTGAAGTACTATTTTAATAGATTGTTATATAACAGCCTTTTTGTAATTAGGTCATTATATTTTAAATAATCTAGTCAGTTATGCATGTTGTTATTTTTAAAAATAAATTAACACTCTTAAAACGTATAAGAGATAAACAAAAAATACTTAATCATTGATAAATTGAGAAAAACATCTACCTAGAAGATATCAAATAATAAAATCTAGAAATTATTTTTATTTTTCGTTTATTTAAAGGATTCATGATAAATTAATTACTTAGTATAGGTGTTCAAAAATTTTAAAAATATGTTAATTGTTACCACAAATGTGAACAACAGAATCCCTTTATCTTACTAATTATAAACACCCAATATTATACTATAAAATTCAGTGAATATGTTACAAGTCTAACTCATATTTTTCAAACAGATAAAATAAATTATTGTGTGTAAGAGTCATATACTAATTACTCAAATAATTAAGTAAAATGAAAAGAACAACATGAAAAATACAAAAAAGTAATAAATAATATTAATTACAGACATTTTTTTTTTTTTAGATTAATTAGTCATACAAGGGCAGAATAATCCTACTCCGAAATAAAATGCAAAACCAAATTCAAGAGAAATTTATTTTAAATGATCGAATATTAAAGATTCTAAATTTGCATTGTGAACTTAATCCATTTAATCTGACAACAATTCGCAATTTCAAGTTCTATCATCTCATTTATGCTCTATTATTATTATTGGAATTTATTGTAATCAATTGCTATGTGTTTATTGGTTTTTACTATGTGAAAAACGATTATATTTCAGCTACACAATTATTTATAAATATAATATCCACTATTCAAATATATCTAAACAACTATAGAATTTCTAAAAAATATGGTGAATTAAGGAAATTATTAAATGCAACGAGTAGCTATTTTCTGTCTTCTAATTATAAAGCAAAATATATGTTTAAACACAACGAATCTAAGTGTACTACAATAATAAATATAAACTTTTTTATGTATATTTCGGCGTGTTCAGTTTGGTTCCTTAGTCCATTATTTATAAAAGAATTTCCTTTAAAAAGAAGAGACGGCAGTCTGGTTATTTATCATAACAACATCATAAATTCATTCTTAAGTTTTATACCCATTTCGGTTTATGAGCAAATTTACCCAATTGTTTATCTATTGGAAGCTTTGGAAGTAGTACATGTTTGTTCTGAATTGTTTTTCTACTATACAATAATTATACAATTTTGTTGGATGTTATCAGCTCAACTGAAAATAATTGTGTTTGAATTCGAATCATTTGGATATGAAAATGTTGAATTAGGTACGTGTGAAATGATTATAATTAATCTTTATTTCTTCAATATTTTTTGATAAATTAGAAGGAGAACATAATTTTTTCAATATTAGTGAGATTGTAAATTAATTATCTATTTTCCAAATAGAACAGAAAAACGACTCTTGCTACATGAAAAATTTGAATCAAATACTTTTGGATCAGACAAAGATAAACGTGTAAGTTGATAAAAATATTTTATATCAAGGTGACTACAAACATTGTAATCTTTTTTATATTTAACACTTATTTTTATGGATTTTTAAAATGATACATTTATTCTTATCATCATTTCATGAACATTATCTGTGTTTTTATACAATGATTAATTGTCAAACGCTGTTGTCATATATTTTAACACATTTTTAAATGTTATTCATAACATGATAGATAATCTAATAACTAATTTGATGTTACATTTTTATTAATCATTATTATTCTTATTAGGTCAATTAAGAAGTTTCATGAAATCATGAAACCGATAACGTTGTTTACATATGTATGCTATTTAAATATTTTCAATGCTTTCATATATGTGTGTATATTGGTATGTATTTTCAAATTTAGCAATCAAGTGATTTTCATAATTTGATGAGAAATTTCTTTATAGATTTACTTTCAAAATGACGATGTATTGTCAGTTACTTTTGTGAAAATATTATTAACAACATCAGTGGTCATGATCGATTTGTTTGTTATAAGCTATTTTTATGGTCATCTTGAAAATCAAGTAAATTATATTTTGACAGTAGTTAGTACATTTTAATTACATTTTGACTAAAAATTTATATAAATACTCCATTTATGACATATTAAAATGTTTATAAAAATAAGTTCCTATCAAATATATACGAATAAAGTATGTCCTTCAAATAAATGTACGAAACAGTAAAGTGCAAAAAGTAAAAACAAACATAGTTTAAATGAATTTTAATAATTTTTAATAAAAAATTTTACTCTATAGCTACATTTTAATGTATTTTATAATAGTTTATTATGAATTACTACTAAACTACTACTAAACGATTACTAATAATTCGGAATATGCCCATCACTAATTTAAATTATAATATATGGTTACGATTAGTAGTTTTAAAATTGGTGGTATACGTTTTTTAAGTAATTAAAAAACCAAGAGATAGCGCTAGTTTTCTATCACTGTAAGAAGAGGGTAGCCTAGTCAACGGTTGGCCAAATAGACAGTTACTGTAGGTCGTAGTTACACAATCCCGAACAAGTAAGAACTACTCAAGTACTCTTTAGTCACTACTGTAATCATTTTGGAATCAATGTATTTTGTACCGACGGAACGATAGTGTAACGACTAAGTGTAATCGGTTCTACTTGTTCCACCAATGTACTCGTTACTTTGTACCGATTACACGAGTACCGACCCATCACTATTTGTAACAACACGTTACCAACCGTGATCAGAATTTTATATATTAAAAATTCTTTACTTAAAAAGTTGGTTCAATCTTCAACGGTGATCATAACCATCGCGTTATCAACCGTGATCAAGATTACTAGCTTTTCCTAAATATTCCTTTTAATTCTTTGCAACAGTGCTCGGAACAACGCGTTACCAACCGTGATACAAAGGGTTCTACTTCTACTTTCACCTTAAATTAAATAGTTCCTAAAGTAAGACTGATATGATAGTTAGCTGTTTAAAATAAAACAAAATTAATTAATTATTTGAACAATTTGCGTTATATTTTCGTACTATTGATAAATTTAAAGTTAGTAAAAAACAAACTTAAAAGTGTAAAAAATGTAGAAACGTTTCAATTGTAAGGCTATCAACTTTTTTTTTCTTGAAATGAGTATGCATATTTTGATTTAATAAAATGTTTGAAGTTTTATGTTAATAATAGATGGCATTTGAATTTTTAATATAAATATATTCGTTTATTAGATATAAAACTCGAAAGTATCAAGTTTTTGAGTTAATATACATATTTGATAAACTAGGGATTACAAATACAAGTATTGAATTGGTTTCTTATGACATCGCTTTCACAGATGCGGAGTGTTTAATGTCAATTAGAACTTTATCAATTTATATGTTTCTGCATTGTCTGTTGGTGTATTTATTACGTACAACAATGTGCCTTATTACCGTTGATAATAAATGCTGCGTATCTGTAAATATCGATGTCATAATAAACCAACACAATTTTTTTATGTAGAAATAATTGTTATTTATAAGTAAAATTAATTATTATATAAGAATAATATGTGAAAATTTATTACTTCATAAATAACTATTCTCCATAAATCTAAGTAACTTCTATTTTAACGTTTATACTTTATACTATTTTATCAGATGAATGGAGTACAGTTTGCTATGTATTGTAATAAACAAAAAGAGACTCAGGAGAAACGAGAGAGACGAGTGAGTGTAGGTAGGGAAGGAATGTAATAAATAAAAATGGCTATAATAAGGTGGCGAAGGAATGTTGTTAAATGTGTTTGGGGTTCGGGGTGTGAAAGAGAAGAAATATAAAGAAATGTAACACAGGTGGCTAATAAGGAAATAATAATCGTAGCGGGCGTAGTGTAAAAAGGATGGGCACCAATGGAAGGTAAAAGTGGCTATAGATACCCGGCAGTGACTACAATAAAATGAAATAGAAAGGGATCTCGGGGTATGTATGCTTGTGTAAAAACGTCTAATATATGAATAAGATGGAATTACAAAGAAGGGTCACTACCTAGCTCCTGCACAGAAACGCGCACACCAATTTCCGGCGACTCACAAATATCGTGTTTTTATAAAAATATTTTAATTTACTCTCAATGACCTATCTTGTTCTAATTGTTTATTACTAAAATGTTCTTCAGTAAAGGATCTATTATAAGCTTATTGTATAAACAAATGTTTCACTTACCTCTGACTATCCTGATATTCTCTTGAGATGAATGATGTTGTTGATGTAACAATTATCGATGTATACGTTTACGCATTAATGTACGCAATTATGTTTATACGGTTTATATTATTACTAACTCGCGTGTAACTACTTTTCTAGTACAATTCTATATTAAATCTACCCAAGGTGAAATCTAAGTTTGTTATAACTCTGTCTTTTTGCAAAAACCTTTTGTATATTTATGTAGTATAGTTCTTAACCTTGTATATGATGTTTTACGTTAATATATTTATTATTTAATAATTTATAAAGCAAATGAATAACTTCTAAGCAACATAACTGTCCTGTGCAACAAAACTATTTCCAAGTGGCCTACGTCTTTTCAGTCGTCCAAATGGTGATCTAGGGTAGATGCGAGCTCAATTTCAGTTCTTTGCACAATAGATTATACTAGTGTCCTACACTCCGATCACCGGCACTGTGGCATAGATCAGACTAGCTGGTCGATAAGTGGAGAGACACTTTTAGTTGTTTAGTATGATGTTAGTTATAAATATATATTAGTAAAATATTAGTTTTTAGTATAATATTTCGACTCTGATTTATTTGTATTTCGTAGCTGGATGTACCAACGCGAGATCACAAATAATATCTTTGTCTTTATGCAAAGAACCTTATGATATGTGGTCTACTTCTTTTCAATCACCTGTAGGACGACCTAGGTTAGATGCGACTGTACTATAGATTTATGCACGATAAGTTATGTTAGTGTCCTACACTCCGATTGCCCGCACCGTGGCAGAGATCAGACTAGCTAGTCGATAAGTGGAGAGACACTATGAAGAAATCTTATGGTTAACTAAAATTCTAATTATGATATTATTGTACTATTACCCTGTCCAGCCAGGTTGTGGCCCTTCAATAAGTAGTAAATACAATTCAATCAAATTAATTACCTCAGAGTATGTTTATATATATATGAATATAAATGTAAATAAAAAGAAATAAATAAACACCAATATTTTATATGTGTCAGAATATTTATATCACCAAAAGTATTCGACCGAAAATAAGATGTATAATATTTTTCAGTAATTACGAAAGAGGGTAAAAATTATGTAGATTTCATATAGAATTGTTACTAGAATGAAACATAAACTCACGCACATTCACTTTTTGTATCTTAGTTGAGTATTGCAGAGAGCCGTAGAGATGTATAGAATGGCAAAGCGTCCCAGTATTCGCTAGAGGGATGTTCAGAGCAACCACAGTAAGAGAGCCAAGTGCAAAGGAACCACCCGAATTTGGGGGAAATTGGCCTTTTTATAGCCTGCAAAAACTGGTTTAGCGATCTCTGGTGAGATTCTTGAAATATTTTTGCTGTATTTGATTGGTTAATGTGATAGAATCTTTTACGTGGGCGTTTTATGGAATGCGTAAGAGGGAGATTAAATCTTGTGTAAGGGTATTATTTTATTATTCATCTTATCCACGGGGAAACACTGATTTGGTGATATATTTTATTAAATATAAGTATTAATTATTACATGTATTAAAGTGTGATACTACAGTATAGTATTAATTGGACCGATAAAAGTATAAAATTAAAAAAAATGCTCTTGTTGGCTATGAGTTTAAATCACACGAACAAATTAAAAATGAATATTACTCCACAAAAATCGTTGAATCTAGAAGTATTTAGCTCGGTAAGTCTTTTTTTTTAGAGAAAGCACTGAAATTATTATATGTTATTAAATTCAATATAAAATATATTTATTATAATGTGTGTGACTTGATTAAAATAATAATAATAAATATATAATAATAATTATCAATTAATTATTTATTTTAGGCGATGCGTGTATCATATTCTATAATTTCACTCTTGGCAAAAAAAACAAGTTAGAAATAAGAATTTATTTTGAATCTTTTGTGTTTTATTATATATTAAGTTTACTTTGTGTTACATTTTACAATGTAATCTTTAAATTAAGGCATTAAAAACTTGATTAGTAAATAAGCTATATTTTCATTTTAATTTTTGGCATTATTATTAAAAAATACATAAATACCAGAATGTAAGAATAAATAAAGTATTTGTATATGTGAACAGCTCGGTAATGTCATAATACTGTAGTAATACAAAAATAAGCGTATAAGAAATGGGTGTGTTGGGTATGTGTGTGGGAAATAAATTGGACAAAAGAATTCTGAATTCTATATTGAATTCAAAGTGTCAAAAGTGCCGGTTCGCTCGCTCACAGATGTGCAAGCAGAACTAAACCTTTTTATATTATATTTAATTATCCCCATCATGGGATGTTGTCGTCAGTGCTTTTAGTGATTTTCAGTTTATTGTATTAAATTTAACATAACATGATTATTATTTTACGATAAGATGCATAGTATACAATTATTAATTTAACATGTATATACATATAGAATAAATAGTGTACAATAGTATATATGTTATGACAGATAAATGAATTATTTGTTTGTATACAATGTCGTACGTTGGTAGTGCCCCAACGTAGACTCAAAAGTTTTACACAAATTAATTAATGTTTTTATATACATATATACATACATATATATATATATATATATATTGACGACGAGTTCGTCGTTCGAGCTTTCTCGAATCCTCCCGTTGGATAATCTGATCTGCCCCAATCCCTCTAATTAGCAGACTACTAAAGGGGTAGAGTTTAGACCCGTCAGCACAGTCTAGCTCAAAAGTAACAGTCTGAAGGGTGGCTCCTTGTCAGCCACCAGCACAACTATCTTTATACTATACCCACTAATGAACGGTTAAGCCCAAAAACTAGCCAGCTCGTACACTTATTATTAAGAT